GGGACGGGGTGGCCCCGACGCCCACAAGTGTCAACTACCACTTCACGCGCCAGTGCAACTACAAGTGTGGCTTCTGCTTCCACACGGCCAAGACCTCCTTCGTGCTACCGCTGGAGGAGGCCAAGCGCGGGCTGGCGATGCTCAAGGAGGCTGGTGAGTGCAGCCCAAGCTCGCTGCGTTATAGCCAGGCTCGTAGTACTGCTGCCCGAAGCAGCTGAGAGGAGATCACGGCAGCTTCCCATCTCTGCTTCCCTCCCTAGGAATGGAGAAAATCAACTTCTCGGGAGGGGAACCGTTTCTCCAGGACAGAGGCGAGTTTGTGGGCAAGCTGGTGCAGTTTTGTAAGCAAGATTTGAGGCTGCCGAGCGTCAGCATCGTGAGCAACGGCAGCATGATCAGAGAGCAGTGGTTCAAGAAGTACGGTAAGGAGGCCTTGACACACAGAAACGCTCACTTGGCTTGGGAGCTTTCGCAGTGCAGCCTCATAGCAAGACCCTATTTATTTTATATATTTATTTTGCTGCAAATGGATCCCCCATTTGTTAGTGGGTCAGTTAGAATAAATGTCAAACCAAAGAAAACATTGGTGAAATGTAGTTAATTATATGTTGTGAGCATGTGAAGCTTGTTATTTTGCCTCTTTGGTGTCACAGTTTTGCCAAACCGGAGCATATCCACCATGCAGGGGCGGGGATGCTGCTGCTGCGGCTCTTGTGGTTTGTGCAGTTCCACAGAGTGGTGTCTATGGGATGCTTTGTGCCAGATCACAAGGAAGTGGAAGTGGGCAGGCACTTGACAACTTTCAACTGGAGATACAAATGCTAATCCATTTTTAAAACTTGTTTTCAGGTCAATATTTAGACATTTTGGCAATTTCTTGTGATAGTTTTGATGAGGAAGTCAATGTTTTAATTGGTCGCAGTCAAGGAAAGAAGAACCACGTGGAAAAACTGCATAAACTGAGACAGTGGTGCCGAGACTACGCTGTTGCTTTCAAAATAAATTCAGTCATCAACAGATTTAACATTGAGGAAGATATGAATGAACAGATCAAGGCACTCAACCCTGTGCGCTGGAAGGTAGTGTATACTGTAGGTTGTCTTCTGCTCAGAGAAAATGAATGGTGAAGTGAAATTCTGGAGTAGTCTGAACATGTAGCTACACAAGACAGCTTCCCAGTTCCAGCTTGGGGTGGTGTAAGCAGAGCTGTTATTAATGTTACATAGCACTGAGGCATATGGAACAGGCTGCCCAGAGAGGTTGTGGAGTCTCCTTCTCTGGAGATCTTCCAAACCCGCCTGGATGCCACCCTGTGCCACGTGCTCTAGGTGTCCCTGCTGGAGCAGGGGGATTGGACTAGATGAGCTCTAGAGGTCCTTTCCAACCCTAAGCATTCTATGATTCTGTGATATTCTGTCTCATTTCATACTTAAATGGATCCCAGTATACCAAGAATCATGTCTGGTGTGGTATTTGCAGGGAATTACTATTTCAGGCTATATAGGTCTAGTTGTTTATGACACTGAAGATAAGATAGAAGGTTTTTAATGAAAATATGCCATACTTCAGAAAGAATGAAGTTAGTGTACAATGATACATTAGAGTTCATATTAACAATACACTGTACAATAATGTTCTAGTATAGAAAATATCCTAGCCACTAATACACTGTTTGAAATGTATTAGTTGCATTATGTTATTGGTTTGAGAGCAGGTAAAGATCATGTGTCTTGTAAGCATGGGAGGGCCTTTGGAATCATTTCTCAAGCTGTTAGGACACACTGGGATAGAACCCATATAGCTCCTGTATGCTGTTTTTACACTTTTAACAATTTAATAGAAACAAATAAGAATTTTATCAGCACCGAACTGATATACCAGCAATGTTTTCCAACTAGGAAAAGAGAATCAGTGTAGGTGAAATCTTGGTCCCACTAAGGGAGCATAACACCCCCAAGAAATAACTTTTTTTTTTTTTCCTATCAAGTTTCCTACCCTACTTTCATTATGAGGTTGCAAACCATATTGGCAAAGGCAGCTTCTTCTCCAAAGTCTGTTCTGAATGTGTTCGAGGACTTTGTCTTTAGAAGGAAGCTCTTAGTAGACATGCTATTCCAGTTAATTTATGAAGTACAGCTCTACCTTGGGCCCTTTGTGTACAATTTACTTGTCACAGTTTGTATCAGTATAGCTCCACTGTCAGGCATATTTAAAGAGAGGTGCTGAGACTACTGAAGGCTCTAATGATCATGGCAGTCTCATCCTCAAGGCCATTAAAAGTGTAAACTCCTCATTAGGTGCGTTTTTGTCTTCAGGTATTCCAGTGCCTGCTCATTGAAGGGGAGAACTGTGGTGAGGATGCTCTGAGAGAAGCAGACAAGTTTCTCATCAGTGATGATGACTTCAAACGATTCCTGGATCGCCACAAGGACGTCTCCTGCTTAGTTCCAGAGTCTAATCAGGAGGTAAAATTAAAACTGGCTATTCATAGCTTTGTTCTGGCAAAATGGAAAGACGGATTAAGAATTAGAAGCTTTCATACTTATTAACACTTTCCCTGATAATATTGGTGCTACATTACCACTCTCAGCAACCAGTTCTGTCATGCTGGAAGGCAGTATTTGTACTTTTATACGAGGTTTGCAGGCATTGATCGCAGTCCTATGGAAACCAGTGGGAATTCCGTTGTGGTGTGGTGTGGCAACATGCTCCATTACCGGAGTGTATAAAGTATCAGCACAGAAACTGTAGAAACTGAGGTCTAAACAGTTAACCCCTCAAGAGCTGAAGGGCTCTCAACTACCAGGCCACAAGAGTCTGATATGGCTGACTTAACACAAACACAATTTATACTCTAAGCAGTTTCCTGACAGAGATGCATCACACTACGGCAGCATCAGCTACCTATACTCAGTAGGGATCTCATCCCAGTCGACATTATTTTGGTCATCAAGTGTATTTGTTTTCACAGGAGAAAGAACTGGCATAGTGCCTGACACATCTTGCTAAGCACCCCCGTCACAGTAACACAGGGGACACTTTTAGCCTCATCAAACTGACTGCTGATGGGTGCATGTTCTTATCTAGGACTTCTTTTTTAGATGCCCACATGCTGTACCTGTGGCATGAGCAGAGGTCATAGGTTCACTGTTTAGAAAGATTATAAACTGAGTGAGGAAATACAAGTTTAGCCAGCGAAATCTAGTCTTAAATCTGTTCTCCTTCCTTCCTTATCCTCTTCAGAGATCAAGGCCTTCAGTTTACAATTTACTGATTTTAAGTAAAGTGAGCTCAAAGCAGTCTGGCTTACTAGGTGAAATCTGAGTAACATGCTCACTTCCACACCTAAGACTATGTGGAAGAGGTCAGGTAGGAGAAACCTAGTTAGCTGGGCAAAGATATCTTATTTCAATTGTTGGCCTGTTTCCTGCTGCTGGAAAACTGAAGAGCTTTTTAAACTGGGAGATTGGCACTAACAGATTTGTTTACTGGGAGTAGTGAATGCTGGGATGGCATAAATGGCCACATCAATTGTTTGGAAATGACCTAATCATTCCAGTATGCTGAAAAAAAAAAAAAAAAAAAGGAAAGTTTGATCCAAGCTCACTGAAATCAGAGGGAAGACATCAGCTTGTTCAAAGATTTGGATTACACTTTGAAGGAATAATTATTTGTTTTGGCCTTGATTTTTCCCTAGAATGAAATTTTAGTTTGCCCATTAACTCGAGCTTTTCTTTTGTTCTGTTACAGATGAGAGACTCATACCTCCTTTTAGATGAATACGTAAGTATTTATTTGATCCTTGATACTTGTCTGTTAATATATCCCTATGTATACAACAGTGGTAACTGCTTCAGTTTACTATGTGTTCTATAAAAGAATTGTCATGCTAGGGGAGGTTCAGGTCAGACAGAAGGAAGAATTTCTACACGGAAAGAGTCATTGGAATGAGCTGCCCAGGGAAGTGGTGGAGTCACGGTCCCTGGCAGTGTTCAAGGAACGTGTAGACAGGGCACTTTTACTTAGGGACATTGTTTTTCAGGCATGTTAGTGATGGATTTACTGTCGAACTCGATGATCTAGGAGGTCTTTTCCAACCAAATGATTCTATGATTCTATGATCAACCATGTCCCACAAGGAATAGATATAATTTATTTCCATACTCCATTTCCATATTAGATACAATTTATTTCCATATTCCATTTCCATATTAGATACGATATAATTTATTTTCCATATTTCCATATTCCAATTAGATTTAATTTATTTCCATATCCAATATTCAGAAGTGGAATGTAGCTACGGCCTAAGGAGCAGTCCCCAAATGCATCAGGTTGCATGCATGAACATTGCATCATGAGTGTAAAAGTGTATTTTACACATATTTTTTAGACAAGCCATTGCAGTTTATTATCTAAATGTTTGCTCTTCGGTTACACGTAAACTAACAAGACCCTTAAAAACAACTTGCAAGGTTGTATCAGTATGGGCGTTTGAATCTTCTCTTTGCTCTTCGGTTACACGTAAACTAACTAGACCCTTAAAAACTTTACTTGGTATGACTTTGTTCTTGCAAGGTTATATCAGTATGGGCATTTGAATCTTCTTAAGGGCAGTGAACAGTGAAACTGTTCACAGGCAGGTAGCTTACATACATGTTTGTGGAATTGTAGCACAGGTTATTTAATTCTGTACAACAGTTAAACTTTACAGTAGTAAATACGCATAAAACTTAAAGGTCATACCTGTGAATTTTCTAGATGCGCTTTCTAAATTGTACAAATGGACGAAAAGAGCCTTCTAAATCTATCTTGGATGTTGGAGTAGAAGAAGCTATACAATTCAGTGGATTTGATGAGAAGATGTTCCTAAAGAGAGGAGGAAAGTACGTGTGGAGTAAAGCAGACATGAAACTGGACTGGTAACTCAGTTAACTGAGCTGTGGCAAGTGCACTTTGTGAAGAAAATGTGTCTGTATATATATAATGGTTTTAACTACATGTGTATATTGTACAGATCAATGTTCACTAACTCTGTAGATAAATATTTTAGTGTTTTTTGAATTTAGGTTATATTCTTTTCTATTGTTCAGTTGAACATTACAGAACAGTGAAATAGAATTTTCACAGAGGTCTAAAATCTAGTTACTAGTTTATTGTATGAAGGACTGCAAGGGCAAACTGTTAAGATAATGCCTTACAGAAAACAGTTTTAAGATAATAGGTAAGTGTGCATTCAAGAAAACAAAGAAAAAATGCCAATGTCTAACTCAGTGTAAACAGCCGTAATGATTGATAAATTGAAACTCTTATCAGGAAATAGTTTCTGTATAGTTCATATGGAAAGGTGCATATGCAATTCCTTACCAGGGCACAAGAGGGCCGACTTTGAAAGCAGCCCTAACTTTTTCAGGGATGATTCTGACCCTTTTTCAGGGGTTAGCATTATCTCTAATAAGGAATACATCAAAAAGGAAGTCAAGATTAAAAAATAGGAATTTTAATTCCTCAGCTCTTAGTTGTAGAAGTGTTGTTGTTCTCCCTGAGCTGCATACACCCAAATGTTGAGGGATGTAAATTTCTTGTAAAAATAGTGCTTTGATCACAATATTGCTCCTCAAAACCTAAGAAATATGTTTTATTCAATGATGAGCAACTTCTTATTTCACCTTGCCAATGACATGTACACTAACAAATATTTGCAATGAAAAAAAATGTTTGTTTTTATTCATAACTTCCCCCATTTCACTTTCCTGCAGCACTCTACTTTTTTGTTTGTTCGTTTTTCTCTCCTTATGTATACAACTCTGATTAAGATTCCTTATATGATGAATGAATAATATGGAACACACTCACCACTACGTTCTCTTGCTAGGTCTGTGTTATTCCCGTGCTTTTTATTGCACAAAGTTCATATCTCGCATAACTTTGTTTTAAAGGTTGTGTAGCTCGGTAGTCACTCTTACTAGTTGCCAACATGCAGGTCGTAAGTGCAACTAGGTTTTGTGGTAGCTGCCTTTGATTCCAAGAGCTAATAGCATCCACCTAAAAGACAGAAAAGTTTAAAAAAAAACACAAAGGCAATAATTTAATATGCTGCCTTCTTGCCTTTTTTTTTCTCTCTTGGTAATCTTTTATCCTTTTGTGATTACATTTTTTCAAATTTAATTAGCCTCCCTCCCCACCCCCCATTTCAGTCTAGCTCTGTGTGAAGGCAATAGGGATAAGCATTGCACAAAACAGAAGTGAGTTAGCATGCCTAGACTTTCTCACATGTTTAAATATTGCAGCAGTTGGGACGCAGCATGCACTAAATACACCTTGCAAAAAATGCACTTTTTTCTGATAATGTTAGTTGATTTTTTAAAAACTTTTCAGAGTCCCATTTCCATTTTTAGTGTTCTAACTCTAACTTGTCTTTTAGAATTCCACAATCCCTGTACTTTTTATACACTTGTATTTCAGTATTTTTTTTCTTCTCTTAGTATTAAGGACCATTAAAAAGTGGCCCACACGCATTAACCCCAGAGTCTTTTGGCAGTTATTTTACTGACCTCAGCAGTTTATTCTGAACAAGGAACAACTTTGGGCAAAGCAAATCTAGGTAATTGTGGTGTTTGACTTGCTGGTTGTTCCTATTGCTGAATCGAGCATCTTCCTCAGCGTATGCACTGCATGATAGAAAAGAGGCACTTTGCTGCTGGCTCAGTCCCAGCATGAGCAAGATCAGCGCATCATTGTAGCACTAAATCTACAAGCTTGCTGCTTCTGCTGGCAATGCCAGCTGTATCACAGCATGCAGACATGAAGGGCACAAGCTCCGTGTCAGCTCCAAAAATGCTGCTGTTCTCTGTTGTGGCATTTCTCTCTGCAAATGGTCTTTTTTTTTGGTGCACGATGTCCGCTATGCCTCAAGTTGAAGCTGCAAGGTGAATAAAAGGGAGCTGAAAAAAGTAATATTGTTTGAATAACAGACAGTGAATAGGGTTGAGCTCTTATATTTTCCATGTTGGTTTCAAACAATTTTACATTGCCCCTTATTATTGTGCCTAATTTAGGAAAACTCTCTGTTCTGTGTAATACATATGTATATATATATATATATATTTTTTTTCTGAAGAATTTACCAATTGTAGTTGGAAATTACCAGTTATACTGCTGGAAATGAAAACTTTGGCTTAATTTTCAACATGGCTACAGCTTGGTTAACCTAGAAAGATTTTATTTTTTGGTAGCCTATGAGCACAGTTTTTACTGGAAAAAAAATGAAGTTTAGGCTTTCATTTTGCAGCGTGTCTAACTTTCATGCAGGACTAGAAGCATAATATTAAATTCAATAGGGCTACTCCCAGGCTGAGGGATTGCATGCACATTGTGACTGTGAAGAGTCAGTAACTAACTGACAGTAACTAACACAGATAGGCTTTATTGTATTTTCATGTATAATGTCATAGTTCTGCAGCTAAGCGCTTGCTAAAAAAGCTGAACCAGGCAGTAATTAGTAAACTGCCGTTTACCAGTATTATACAGCTGTTCGTATTTTTTAAATTTGTAGAAAATGAGAATTTGAGTGAATTAATGAATTAATGAGTGAATTAATTAAGTTTAATCATTAAGAATGTGTCTTGAGTAAGGAATAAAACTGTCATTCAGGTACTCTCTTTTTCAGACTGAATGATGCCTGATATATTTGACTTATAAACAGTGAATTTTTAAATGATAACGTCACAGAATTCCTACTACATTTGTATGTGGCACATTGCAATAAATGTTTCTATTTTATTAGATTTGTCTCTAGTTTCTTTTTTTAAAAAATAAAATCCAGACCGATAATAAGAAGATCTGCATTCACCATACAGTGGTAATCTTGGATGGAGCCCACAGGGAGCGCGGGGGCTGCTTGGCACAGACAACAGCTGAATCCGGGACGAAAGGTGCTGATTCTCCTGGGGCTCAAGAGCATTTGTGACCTGCTTGAGCAGCACGGGTTGTGCTGGGAGAAAACGGTTAAAATACGTGAAAGATACAACCGTCCATAAATATCTGAGGAGAAAACAATTACCTTTTGCTAGGATAAATAACCAAAGCTAGTCAGCTTAGGGATGGAGCAAAGACAGGTGGCTTCTCTCCACGCTCATGCTCACATCTTTGGGGTGCAGAATAAACTCTTGCACCAAACTGGAGCATTTCACAGTAACTGCTTGGGAAGGGGGTATTCACAGTAACTGCTTGGGGAGGGGGTATGCTTCAGCTTGTGTTTATTTATTTATTTTCCTCTCTGCCCCTTTTTTCTTCCACATAGGTGGACATTTCTCACCGTGTGTTAGCGCAGGGCAGCAGAAGCTCAGTGGGGCTGAGGACCTTTCCACGGAGGCCACCGCCCGTGCCTGCCACAGGCAGCTGGTTGTGTGGCCCTCGCTATGGCTCTGGCAGGGGGTGAACACTGCATCTGAGCAAGTCAAGGAGGCAGCTCTCATTGCTCACGCCAGTGAGCTCTGCTCTTTTGTGCCTTGCAAAAGGAGGCTGGTTGCTGCTCGATGCGTAAAGCAGTGAGAGGAAGGCAGCTGCTTTTGCATCTTGGAGAACAGCTGTACAGCCACCATGGTTTCCCTCGGCTTCCCTTTCCCTTTCCTTGCAAGCAAGCCTGACCCTCCTGCCTTCCTGCGTAGAATCCCCTTGCCCGCGTTGCTGACGGCCTGGCGATCCGCGGGGAGGAACGGGCGCCGGGAGGAAAGC